AAGAAATAAAGTAGGTGTGGCTGCCATGGGTGACTTTCAGCAATAAATATAGACAGTTTTTAATGCAACTTAATGATATATTCTATTTCAACAATACATACTTTATTGTACATACATACATACTTTATTTTTACCTCCCCAATGGGGCTTTTCAGGAACAATTATTTAAATTACTAAAGTTACTAATAACTACACAATTAAAATTAATTAGATTTAAGAAACATTTACAACATTATCTAAACTTTGTAGTCGAGAAAAACTGAAAATAAATGAAGTTTAGGGAATATTTACAAACTTGTCTAAAAAAGCTTATTCTTTAAGATACGTTTAAAAACTTGAACCGAACGGCTTGATTTTAAAAAGGGTTCTAAATTGTTCCAAAGTCCAATAGTTCTGTAATAAAATGTTCTTTGTCCTGAGGCTGTTTTAAAAAGAGGTATATTAAGCTTTTGGCCACTCCTAGTTGTACGCTTGGTAACTTGCTCGCGGGTAATGAATTGTGACGTCAGATATTTGGGGGCGTGTCGGGAAATGCATTTAAAAGCCATGGTAGCTTGGCGGTAGTATAGTTGGCCCTTTACGGGTAACCAAGACAAACTTACTTTCTCGCGCCACTAACGATTCGACATGCGAAGTTCTGCACAGCCTGCAATTTCCATATATTTTTCTCTGTGGTATTTGCCCAGACGTTCGAGTAGTAGTACAACTTACTGAAAACTACGGCGTTTATCACAGTTAACAACGACGTTCTGTCAAGACAGTGTTTGACACGGCTAATTTGCGCGAGGCGTGCGATACATTCCGATACTGTGGTCTTAATATTATCATCAAATGTCAAGTTCGAATCCAAAATCACGCCGAGATCTTTGGCTGATTGTACAGGGGAGATGTCCATTCCCAGCAAAGACAAACGAAACTCATGGAGCTTCGAAGTCATCTGTCGGCTCCCGAAAACAATTAATTTCATTTTGTCTGGATTTAGTAATAGCCGATTTCTGAAGCATCAGTTGCGCACACCAAGGAGGTCTTCGTTCATCTCCTCAACAATCCGTTGGGTGTCTTGTGAATGAAAAGAAACAAACAATTTTGTATCGTCTACATAGCATTCAGTAGAGCAATTCTGTGGAGCTTCTAGCCGATCATTAACGTATATACGAAATGATAAGGGGCCCAGGATGCTACCCTGAGGTACTCCATATTCAATTGGTATTGGATTGGAAACAGTGGAGTGAATTCGTACAACTTGATATCTATTTGTGAGATAACTTTTAAACCATTGTAACACACCAGTTGAGGCGCCAACGTCTTGTAGTTTTCGCAACAGTATTTGGTGGTCGACACTATCGAACGCTTTGCTCATATCTAGAAGAACACAGGCAGTTAATTTCTGATTATCTATTCCTTTAAGAAATGCATCAGTCGTGCGAAGTAATCTTTGTTGTCAAATAGGCGACAAACTGATTATAAGCGACTCTCTCAAAGACTTTGACAACAAAGGTAGTAGCGAAATTGGTCTATTATTGTTAGGAAGTTCGTGATTGCCTTGTTTGGTAATAGGTGTGATTTCGGCTGTTTTCCAGATCCCTGGGAATGTTGAAGATGAAAGAGAAGCTTTGATGATTGATGTAACAAAAGGGATTATAATCGGCAGGCAGTCTTTAATGACTCGAGTTAGCACTTTATCAATCCCAGGAGCCTTATTAGAAGGCATTGCATTTAAAATGTCCTCGACTTGTTTACATTCAACAGAATGAAATGTAAATTGCTCAGATGTCGGAAAACTTCTAGGAGTAAAGATGCTGTCATTCACGTTGAAGTTGTTCTCTTCAGCCAAAGATTCTATTTTGGAATTGGTTGATTTTCCAACTGACGCAAAAAAAATATTGAAAGTATCCGCCACGATCTTGTCCTCTTTGCTGTAAACTTTAGGGGAGACTGATCTTTTAGGGATGCAAAGCCGGATTGCCTTCCAAATACAATTTGTGTTCCGTGGGTTGTTTTGGATCTGATCTTTGATGAATTCACTCTCCGCTGCTCTGATTGACTTCCTGACTTGGTGTGTAAGGTTTTTATAGGTAGACCAGGCATGTGGATCATTAGTTCTACGAGCTGTTTTGCGCCAGACATTCCTAGATTTCATAAGTTCACGTATCTCCTCCGTTATGCAGGGATTTGGTTTTCCACGAACTTTAATTAATCTAATCGGAGCGTGACGATCGAGAATTTCATTGAACAACAGGCCAAATGCGTGTAATTTGTCATCACCGTCGTCAAATACTTCCACAACAGACCAGGGTGCACCGGACATATAACAATCTCTGATACCAGTTGGTAGCATCATTTAAAACTGTAAACAAAACAACAAGTGAAAACCTATTACAATTTAAATTAAACTAAATACACTTAGTAAAATTACAATGAAAATGATGATGAAGCTTACAAAATACCAAAACTCACATTTGCTAGAATGCTCTAGTGCTGAATTAATGCCAAACGGCGAAGAGGCTGCATGACGTGCGACATGATGAAATATGATCAGAAGAAATATAATATGAAATATGATGACAAGCGGCCTTACTGAGTAAAACTAACAACTTCAACGAACACAATAGCAGTAGGAAACCTTTATTTAACTAGGGTTATCCCTTCAGAAAACTTAAAAGTCTGTCTGTTATCAATAGGAGCCCTAGATTAAAACTAATAAAAAGTTCAAAATAAATAATAAGAAACTAAGTAACTATACGTTAATAATAGTACAGTATAACAATTAAAATTAATTCTTATTTACTAAATAATTATTATACACAACTGAGCCATTTTAATAAAAACTTTTCTTGGCGGTCTCAGTTCTTACTGCAGGTAAGTATACAAAATTGCTTCTTCTTGTTTCTCTTGAAACAACTTCCTTATTCAACTTCAAATAATTCTTTAAAAACTGTGGTACATTATTATTTAAAAACCTCTTCACTAAACCTAAAATATGAGCGTTACGACGATCTTCTAAACTCTGAAATTTAAGATAGTCAGCGCATGTTGTACCACATTTAGATTTAACAATAATTTTCGAGGCTCGCCTTTGCAAAGATTCAAGACTTTCCATATCTGCTTTATTGCAGCTGGACCAAACAACATCGCAATAATCAAAAATAGGTACGCAGTGCGTACATGGTCGGACATGTAATGTCTGAGGAAGGAGTTTTGAAGTGATCCTTCGTCATTTTATTTCAAATATGAAGAATGGATATGTAAACATAAAATCAACTACTAAAATTAATTTATTGAAAGAAAGTGAGGCTTTGAAAAAAAAGTCAAGAAAGTTTATTTTAAGTTTGATGCCTTAGAGTTTTTCAGAAGTGGTTTCATAAGCACTTGTTGTGTTTTGAGTATTTTCAATTTATTTATATTTTGGTCAAGGATGTATGAAAGCATTGGGATACGAAGAGTTTCTTAATGCCTGTGTTTCTTTAACAACATTCTTATACGAATTATACATGCATCAACACAACAATTTAAACAAATCTAACGAAAGGCATCAGTTAATCGGATGGCTTGGAATAGTTCTTGGTTTGCTGGAGGATGTCTAAAGGCACTGAGGAATAAACAGTGTCTTGATACCTGTGTGTCTTCAAGAACATTCTTGTATGAAGTTATACATTTATGAACAGAACAATGTAAACAAAGCTAATAAAAGTCATCAGTTAATCAGATATGGTTTAGAATATTTGTTGATTTACGGAAGGATGTCTGAAAGTATTGAGCAACGAACAGTTTTTGGATACCTCTGTTTGTTCAAGAACAGTGTTATAAATTATGAAGTTATACGTCTATCAACACAACAATGTAAACAAATTTAACAAAACGTATCAGTTAATCAGATGGTTTAGAATATTTCTTCATCTACTGAAGGATGTATTGAGCAACAAACAGTTTTTTGATACCTGTTTCTTCGACAACATTGTTAAACATGAAGTTATATTTGTATCAAATCTAACAAAAGGTATGAGTTAATCACATGCTTAGGAGTATTTCTTGATCTACTGAAGGATGTCTGAAAGCATTGTGTAACAAACAGTTCCTTGATACCAGTATTAGTTCAGTGACAGTCCTACAGTATATCTAATAAAATGCATTGTTAATCAGATATCTAGAATATTTCTTAATCTGCTGAAGGATGTCTGAAAGCATTGTCTAACAGTTTCTTGATACCAGTATTACTTCAGTAACAGTCTTATATATGTATGAACTTGTACATCTATCAAAACAAAAATTTAAACAAATGTAACAAAATGCATTGTTAATCAAATAGTTTAAATATTTCTTGATCTACTGAAGGATGTCTGAAAGGATTTTTAACTTGAACAGTTTTTTGATACCAGTATCACTTCAGTAACAGTCTTATACATGTATGAACTTAAAAATCTATCAACACAAAATGTAAACAAATCTAATAAAATGCATTGTTCATCAGATATTTGGAATATTTTTTGATCCACTGAAAAATGTATGAAACCATAGAGTTTCTTTATACTTGTGGTTCTTCAATAACATTGCTATATGAAGTTACTTGTCTATGATTCAAGCTTGAGTACTGTTAGTTGTGACTGCATGATATTACTTTGTTGCAGTGTTATATGAAGTAACAGGTGTATGATTTAAGATGGAGTACTGGTGGTTGTAATTGATGTTACTTTGTTGCCATCTGTGTAGGTGATCGCTATTTTCTCTAAGAAAAGAGGTTTTTCTTCTATGTGATTTGTGTCTATGTTATCAGGATCATAAGGGCCTAACAACTGTTGCAATACATGATCTCGTACTGATAGGTACAGCTTGGTGCTTTCATTCTTCACAACTATTGATGCAGAGAGCTTTGTTGGACAGTTTGATGCCCTGAGTTTATGATGACAGTGATCACAGTTAACTAACAGACCTTGAACTTGAATAATACGTTTTGCACAATGACCACATATCTTGTACTTTTCCACTGACTCAATGCTTTAATTTCAGGAAAGTAGTATAGTTGTCTCTTGGTATGGGCTTGAGGTGTCTTCTACTTCTAAACCCTCCAGTAGTGGATTTGGTGTTTCCAAGACGACACTGTTAGTTGTGGTTTTCAACTTTCGTACCCCATTCCAAAAGCGCACACTGAGGTTTGTGAATTTGTACACTTTATTTTCTTGAATCTGTGGAATGAGGTTATTCCACACATCTAAGGTAATTTGCCCTGTGTTATCAGCTATTGTTGCGTTGGCGACATTGTATTTGGCTCGCCCAACAACTTTTGTTTCACTAAGTTTGAGGACTTTGCAAAAGATTTCCAGTTTGTCTTCTGGTGCTTCATCAAGCTTTTCCAAGGTTGTGGTAGCTTGGTTGTCCAGGTTTTGACAGAACTGAAATGGACATTCCAAGCTGTTTGGTGCTGTCACGTGAGTAATATCGTTGACCACAAGTTTTGTGTGATCTGCAGTTCTTGTAAAGCGAGCAATTTTAATTGGGGTTCGAGAGGCTTCTTTTTCAGCAAGAATGGCTCGCTTTGTTGTTGAATAACATAATGCATCCTGCATTTAATTTTCTCTCACTTGTAATGTAAATGTGGAATAGTTTAATGTGTTCCTTTTGTTACGCTTAACTGGGGAAACATTATGAACATATCCAACAAGAGCAGTTCCCAAACTAGTGCCAGAATCTGTAATGTTACCAGTGTTAGTGGCTCTAACAGCACCAATGCCAGAGGTTGTAGCAGCAACTGTAACAATATTAATGCCAGAGGTAGTGTCAGTACCTGTAATAGTATGAATGCCGGAGGTTGTGGCAGCAACTGTAACAGTACTAATGCCAAAGGTAGTGCCAGTAGCTTTAGGAATACCAGTGGCAGAGCTTGTGTGAGGTACTGTAAAAGTGCTAATGCCAGGAGTGGTGCCAGTAGCTTCAAGAGTACGAGTGGCAGAGCTTGAGCAAGGAACTGTAAAATTGCTAATACCAGAGGTCCTGCCAGTAGCTTTAAGAGGGCTAGTGACAGAGCTTGTGTGAAGAACTGCAAAAGTGTTAATGGCAGAGCTGGTGACTGTAGCTTTAACAGCGGTAGTGGCAGAGCTTGTGGGAAGGACTGTGAAAGTGCTAGTGTCAGAGGTAGTCCTAGTACTAGTAACAGTACCAATTCTGAAGCCAGTTCTAGACTGGACATCAACTGGAGGTGCATTTTTGGTGCTTTTTGGCTTTTTTTTCCCTGATGACATGGTGAAACAGCAGAATGTATCTGTAAGAAGAAAGAAAATTTTAACTATAATGCTTACAGAGGATACTTATTATCAGAAGCTTCATTCTTAAGAACTGAATGAAACAAGAAATTAGGGGAGGGGAAGGTTAGGGGTTAAGCAATTAAATGACAGGGAAATAACCAATAATTGTTTTATTTACGTTAAGTTATATAGTTGAAAGAGGATTTTAGATAGTTTTGAAATATACCTAAGATTGATGGATTGTCGCTAAGCGCAGTTATGATTGTTGTATGTAACCTTAAAGTAACTTATTATGGTTTTAGTGCAGCAAACTGGTATTAAGGCCAAAAAATGCAGTTGCTGTAATGATCATTTTGTTGATTGCAGCAACTGCTTACTTTCACTAAATTATTCTGTTTTCTGTGCAAGTGTAATGTGTCACTACTTGATTTACATCAGGCATAGTAACACATTAAACGAAGACATTGCAAAGACATTGCTTAGATTAGTTGACCTTTATCAATTGCAATGTACACCCCTTTGTGATAACTGTAATAAGTTTCTGAAACACCTGTAATAGTACTTTGGAGGGGTAGATTACTATATATGTGGTCTAAGAGTGTTCCATTGTCAGTTGTATATTCATTTATATGCTGCTGATATCCTGATTGTTGAAACATCATTTTCAAAATGGTATGAGTTTGTGAAACATCAAACAAATTATTGTTAAAGTCGCCATTATTACTGAGTACCTTTCATGAGCCAATAAATCAATGAGTTCTGACAAGGCCATACACAAATTTTGTAAAGTTACTTTTGGATATCTGTAAATACCAGCAATAATCAGATTTCTATAATCATGTAGTTTAAAAATTGTTATTTCAACTCCATGGATAACCAAGGGCAAATATATTCTTACTATATATTGCCATGCCATAGTAGGGTCTCGCCCCTTGCTCTTTGACTACATCATCATTTCTAAATAGTAGCAAGTTATTGATTTGATATACAGAATCATCATCCCACGGAGAAAACCTAGTTTCACAGATAATGTTACAATCAGATGCTTGTAAATTGAAATCATTTTTGAAGTCCAAGAAGTGCCGATGTAAGGATTGGGCATTAAGAAAAGAAATTTTGATCATGTCATTAGGAATATTGTGGATGAATTTCAAAGAAGATGAAAGTTGTGCGTGGTTGTTTTCACTTGAATTGCGTATATGGAGTCCTTCTATTGACGTAACCCTACTGAGGGCTACATAATGGATATGAGGAATTGCTTTGGGGCTTTCCAAATCTACAAAATTTCTCTTTCAGCGTCGTCTTGAGATCTATGGACAGTTTTAGCTGCTGCTGGGCGTAATGGAAATTGTTTCCTCACAATAGAAGCAGTTTTATTTCTGCCAACATTAAACTGTGTAGTTATGGGTTTCACTGGTGTCCATGCCTTATCAATGCCTTGAGTATATAGTTGCATGTTTTCTTGACGGGTTTTTCTACCAATACACTGCTGATCAAATTGAACCCAGATAACTCCATGTGGATGTGGAGGATTATAAAGAGTTACTTTTTTTACAACATTACCAGCGCCGTTAGTTATGCCATCATCAAGATGAAGATTTAGAGCAATTTCTGTCCTTTCACCAATTGCAATACACAAGTGAGTACGTAATGCTTTGTTCTTTTTGGGTCATCCACTGGGATCTGTTTTAATATTTGCTCCTTAAGTTTTTCTGTATGAGCACCTATCACACTGTCGGTTGCCTGTATAACAAATTTTGGACCAGGTGCTTTATTGTGCATTGATAAATTGAATTCTTCTACTCTTTTATTTTGTATAAATAAATGAGGAATATGATTATATGCTTCAGAATCAGTTTGGCTGATACAAATCCTCTCTTTTAGTTTATTAATATCTTCGTGAGTGTGTAGGCCTTCTCTGAGGTGATTGAGAATCTGTGCAAAAGTTTTGCTCTCCTTCTGTCTCATAATTTCTTGCAGCTCAAACATCCTGAAGTGCTTGTTCCACAAGTTGCATGCTAAAGGACCATAAGGTGTTTCAAGAGAATCAAAGAGATAATGATCAAATACTGGCTGAAGTTGAAACAAATCTCCAATCGCAGCAATAGAAACACCTCCAAAATCTAATTAATTACCCATTATATCCTGGAGACGTTTGCTAATTTGCAAGTTGAACATGGAACTTCCAACCATTGAAACTTCATCCAAGAAAATGCCAATTCTGCTCGTAAAGTGTTTAGCCGGCTTGAATCAAGAGACTTATAGTTCTTGAGATTTTGATTTGCTGGAATATTAAATGTGCTGTGTGTGTGCAAAATATGATAAAAAAAATTATTTTTGTTCTTTGTTAAGGGAGGAGACAAGTTGCCGATATTCTTCATCTGCATGGTAGTTCATTTGAAATAGCCTCATTTCCTACATGTGCTGAAGGGATGTGAAGGTCTTCACTGAGATCATAAGATTCTAAAACATCTGGTTCCTTCTCTACAAAGCCCTGTACAGAATCCTGTTCTTCATTGTGTTGTGTAGCTGGAGCTATGAGGTCCCAGGCATCATCTCTGTCATTCATTTCAAAACTTTGAACAGCTTGCTCAAGAGCTTCTTGGCAAACAGCATATTGCTTCATTTGTGATTCTATTTGATTTTTGCAATTCTGATATCCTTGCGTGAAAGATCTATATTTAAATAAATCATATTCATCTCCCCGGCAGGTAAAAAAACCACTTTCTTCTGCAGTTTCATTCCTCAATTTTTCTCTCCTTTTGGCAACCTGTTTTGATAAATGTTCAGCTCTTTCTTCTGCAGTTTCATTCATTAATTTTTTTCTCTTTTGAGCAGCCCGTCTTGTTAAGCGTTCAGATTTTTGTTCTGCGGTTTCATTCATTAATTTTTCTCTCCTTTGAGCAGCCTGTTTCATAAGACGTTCTACTTTTTGTTCACTTGTTTCGTTCAGGATTCTTTTTCTCTTTTGTTGAGCCTGTTTCTTTAGACGGCCAGCTTTTGTATGGCAGTTTCATCCCTCAATTTTTGTTTTCTACGAGCAGACAGTTTCTTTAGACGTTCAACCTTTTGTTCTGCAGTTTCATTCTTTTTCTTTTCTATAGACAGCCTGTTTTTCCAATCTCTTTGCTTTCCTTTCACTTGTTTTATCAATTAGTTTCTTCTTGTTTTCTGGTTCAAGTCTATTCAGTAATTACAAATCTTGCACTTTGACTCTGTGAGGTTCATGCATAGTGATTGGGGCACTTATCTGACATGGTTCTCCAATCCTATGCAAATTATTATGCATAGTGCCAGCCTCTAAGTCCACTGGGAAAACTCTAACACCCCTTATTTCGAATGGTACAACTGTTTGGTAAGGATAAACTGCTTCAATATAGCTAACAATACTCTCAATTGTACTGCAGTTCCTGATGTATCAAATTGCCCCCAAACATTTCTGCTGTGCGAGTCAAAAATTTTAAAAAAAGTATTGCTTATTTTAAAAATAGCCACAGTGTTACATTCAACTGTGAGCAAACATGATTCATAATTCATGCAGGAAAATATAGATTCCAGGGCCTCCATTAAAGAAACATATGGATGTAAACCTTCATCGACTTGAGCTGTGCTATTGATTAAATGACCTTTGACATTACCTGCCAAACCGTCACGGATCATGTGTACTATAGGTGGACTCGGTCGACATATCGTGTGACAGTCGACCGATAGTCGACCGATAGTCGACCGATGGTCAACCGATATATCGACCGACTGTCGGCCGATGCATCGGCCGATATGTAGCGATCAACTGTCGGTCAAGTAGCGGTCAAGTGTCGGTCAGGTGTCGGCCAAGTATCGGCCAAGTATGGTTCACTTACCGAGCATATCGCTCAGAAGAAAATAGGCTAAGAAAGAGTGCGAGGTTTTTTCGATATAAGTTCCGATTTGGTAATGGAAAAATACATTGTAAAGTTGGTCGCTTGTGTAATTAATGTGTACCTTAACGTATTTCCATTATTCCTAAAACTACCCAGCTTATGCTTTATCCCTGATGTCATGCTGCCCTTAATCCAACATACCTAAAATAATTACTATTCCTTAGCTCTTATAGCTCTAACAGGTCCTCAACGTTATATTGCTTGTACAACGTTACCGATATTAACTGTCCAGTTTATGCCGGTGATGGGATGCACCTAAATTGTATCAGCTAAAATTGCAGTGTGTAACTGCCCAGCTAAACGAAAAGTAAATGATTTTTTGAAACTGAACTAGGCGGTTAAACTCAAGCAAAGCGATTTAATAAAGACTTCTTTTTGCAGTGCGAGGTCAGACGTTGTTGGTTT